CGGGCATGCGGATCAGGAAGCCGTGCGTCGCCGCGCCCGAGGGGAACACCTCCGGGCAGGTCGACAATGCTCAGGATCTGATCGTCCGTCAGGTTAGGGCGGTCGCTGGCCATGGTGATAAAAGGGGGGGGGGGGGGGGGGGGGGGGGGGGGAAACGAAGACACAGGGGATACACACCCCTGCCCCCCCCCGAGGCGCAGCAGAACGCTCCAACGTTGTCGACACAGTGGAGGACGCCCCCTCACCGCGCGTTGGGCGCGGCCCAGCGAGACAGAGAGAGAGCGAGAGAGAGATAGACGCCAGCGGGCCGGGCCGGCGCCGGGGGGCAGGCGGGCACGAGGGGATGTCGGCTGATCAGTCTCCCCGGCGGGGCGCCAGAATCACCAAAGATCACGCGCGCCATCGCGTCACACGCCGGCCGACCGAGACGCCCTGCCAGGCCACGCTGACATGCGGAAGCCGCAGAGCCCGCGCGGGAGGGGCATATATTGCGGACAATATTGGCATAGCTTTGGCCTTGGGGGGAGGGTGGGGGGGGGTGTGCCCGCGCACGAAGCAGGCGGCGGCGGTGCGCCCGCGTGCCCACCGCCCGCGAGCGGCTTTCGGCTTGGGCGCGGTCGCGGCCCGGGCGACATGCATCAGCGCGGGCCTCCGCCAGGGGTGAAGCGTGCTTTTTTCCCGCCTGCATCCCCGCCCCTGGCCGCGCCGCGTCCCGGCGCGGGCCCGAAGGGAGAGGCGGCCGGGCATGCGCGCTTGCGGCTCACGGGCGCCGACCACGTCCAGAACGTACGCAGACATCGGCCAGCAAAGGTGGGGAATATACTTTTGCGTGAATATTTAACGTACCCTTTTCTCCCCCGCATTGGGGGGGGGGGGCGGGGGAGGAGGCCGACACGCATGCACACTGGAGTTGCAGGGCGGGCACCGCATTGGAATGCATGCCCCCGGTTATGGGGCGCAGGAATGGGGCCCTCCGGGCGTGTGCCTCGGCTGCCGCCGCGCATGGGCGCTTCTGGGTCCAGGGGGGAGGGGGGGGGGGGCAGGCCCTGGAAACTGCCTGTGCCTCGACGGGGCAACGGACGCATGTCCCCTCGGCGCAGGTGTGCCTGCTCCGATCTGTACCCGTGTGGACAAGTGAATGCACCTGCGTCTGTCTGTCGGTGTGTGTGTGTGTGTGTGTGTGTGTGTGCGTCTTCCCCGCGCGTCTGTGGGGGCGCACGCAAATGGCCAGGCTGGGCGCGACTCGCGCGCCTCGACTCCCCCTGGCGTGGGGATATTGCGTTTCGACAGGGGTCTCCGTCGGGGAAAGTGAGACCAGCGGCCGAGGACATGGGAAGGGCGGGCGCGAGGGGGGCGAGGCGAGAGGCCCCGGGGCGCCACACGGCCCGCCGGAGACGCCGTTGACAGGCAGCTCCGGAGGCGGAGCCAGGCAGTCCGGGATATGCCGGGCCGCGGATTTCCTTTTGTCGCTGCCCCCGCGCTCGGTCTTTGGCACTTGCTCCGTGTGCAGGCGGCGGCGGGGGGGGGGGGGGGCAGCTGGCGCGCCGCTCGCGAGTGTGCCCGCAGGCGTTGAGATGAATTCCGCGGCGCCCGGCCCTTGGCCGGCGCGGCGACGACACGCCCCCAGCCCGGTGCTGTTCACCCGCCCCCCTCTGGGCTCCGGAGATTGAGGGCCTTATATTTCGCGGCCGTGTGTGTGTGGCACAGCCCCGCGTCCGCCGGGGTCGGGCACCCCGCCGAGCCGGTCTGGCACATCACCCGATCAAGCGAGTCGGCCTGCACTCCCAGGCTGGCGCGCCGCGTTTGTTGTTGTTGTTGTTGTTGTTGTTGTTGCCGCCGAGAGAGGGTGCCCCGCCCGCCGGCGGCGTTTGCCTCCGCCGGGGGGCGGTTTTGTCCTGCTCTCATCGCGCTTGGCCTTTTTGGGATCGCCAGGTGTTGGCTCGTCTGGCGTTGCGGCCACCCCGGCAAACATCCTCCCCCCCCCCCCTGCTCCTCCCCCCTGCCTCGCTTTTGTGTCGACCTCTCCCCCTTGCCTCGCTTTTGTGTCGACCTCTCCCCCTTGCCTCGCTTTTGTGTCGACCTCTCCCCCTTGCCTCGCTTTTGTGTCGACCTCTCCCGGCCTGGCCTCGCGCCCTCCTCTCCCGGACTCTTCGCCTGTGTGCACAAGTATACACAGCCTGGCACACGCCCACACACACACACCCGCACGCCTTTCACGCCCGGCCGCACACTCTCGACCGCACCCCGCTCCTCGCTCCACCCCCAGCCCGATGCTGAGGAGGGGCTTTCGCAACATGTACGCCCTGTGCCCTTTGGCCCCGGCCCGGCGCCCTGCCCCATGCGTGCTTACCTCGCTCCCGACCCCCCCCCCCC